CTTATAAACTAATACCTATTTTTAATTATTATAATTAATTTTAAATTTATACTTACTCGATGAGTAGGTCAGATATGACTCATTATGCTCCTCATAGCCGCCCCGCTCCCGATCGCCATGCCTGTTGCCATGATCTTCCATTGGGTAATTGTTGATATCATATGATCGGCCCGAGGCCATAATTCTGGGTCGATCCTCTTCGATAATGCTCTCGATTTCCTCTTTAAATATGTCAAATATGTTGGCCGTGCATTTCAGCTGTGGAATTTGATATGTGATTAATTAATTCTTGAAGCTATATAGCTAGAAACTCTAATAAATATTGATTGAAAACAAGTCTTCGAACATATTTGCACTTTCAGCGAGACCCTTGACACGTGCAACCACTCGATTTATATAGATTTAGTATATCCGTTTGGCTTACCCTCATTTGACCCTTGAGAAAATGCTGTGTGGTTACCATAAAGTGTATGGCACTTGTCACCGATTCCAGTGTGCTATTCTCTTGTTTCTCAATCTGATAAGTCTTGATGTGATGCGGTGGCACCTGCGAATGGAAGCAAACGTGAATTGGGATGTGTGTCAAGTGGATGAAGGATGAATGAAAGGAATGCGCGCTTCAGTACATCAGTTCAAAGGGCTGGCAGCGTTTGCAAATCAATTTATAAATATTTATCAAAAGCAGATAGAGCGAGCCAGAGAGTTCAAGAGCGAGGGGGCGAGGGGGCGAGGGGGCTGCATCTTACAGATATGCGACATGAAGCACTCAACCACAATGTTGTAGCACCACCATACAATGCACAATGCACAAGTGGAAACTGTGCCGTGTCCTGTTCTCTCAGCTGTGTGGTGGTCCTCGGCGGAGGCCTCTGCCACTTCTTACGGCCAAAAAACATGCCACAGCAGGCAAATTTATAACTTATGAATGATGAATAGATTCACGCTTGAGTGATTAAGTGGAGCAAAGCGATGGAGTGGGGCACGATGGCCGGGCGGAGGGTGGCTCAGGCACGAGGGCAGTCGAGCCAGGACGAGGCCACTTTGTTTGCGGTGAGTTTAGTTTGAAGTGCCTGCAGATAACGTTGCCAGCCTGACAGGCGGACCCAAGCCCCCCACACCCCCAGACCCTCGCACCCCGCACACATGTGCTGGGTGTAGTGGCAGCAGCAGCAGCAGGAGCAGCAGCAGCAGGAGCAGCAGCAGCAGCCGGTCCTGTTGAAAAGCGCTCGTTAGCTAAAAGATCAAGTGGCGGACCAGCGCACACACCAACACACACACACGCACCAGACCACACTTGAGAGTTGTTTGTGTTAGTTTTTGCTGAATTGCTTGTTTGATAATGATATAAAAATATTATATATATATTCTCAGATATATATGTATGAAACGTTCTCTAACTGCAACTTTCTCAGTTGTTCTCTTGGTCCTTTCACTTAATGCCAGCAGGGCCCGCCCATTTTTTTCAGTTTCCAAGTACCTACCTACCAACAAATACAAATGTAACAGAAAACTTTTATTCTAGTTCGCATTTATATACATACAAATATTTTTATTTTTATTTTTTTGCTATTTCCATTCAGTTTTTTTTTATATATTTTTTACTTTATTAATTAATTGAAAGGCAGCGTGATTAGTTAGTTGTTGTTAACATTACATTTTTAATGTGAACTAAATAATAAATATAATAAAACAAAAGCAAAAAAATTAAACAAAAAAAAATTGTAATGTTTTAGTAAAATATAAAAAACGCGATAAATTTTTTAATATAAACTTTGTATATATTTTTTTGTTTTGTTTTTATTTTATCATCACTGTAAAATATTTATTTGAAATAAAAAGCAACATTGCATTGGGTGAAGATAGAAATAATGTAAAAACAGAAAAACAATACGATATTTTGATCAATATTATTATTATTTTTTTATTGAAAAAATATTTTCTTTAAAGTTTAGTTTCAGCAAAGTAATCTAAAAATATTTGAAAATTTTATTTGTTTTGCAATCATCATCATTTGCGTCAGCAATTCACAGTGGAACTCACCTATTTCGCTCCCTGAGTACAGAGCACAATCCAAGTTCCCCAACCAAGCCTAACAACTTGTAGAAGCATAAAAAGCTCAAACTAAGTGAAATATGACTCAGGTCGTACTCAAACGAACGGATACTCACAATGCGCGCAAACAGAAGGAATTCTCATTTTTCATTGCAAAACTTTTATAGGCGATCCTTTTACGTAGTAAAGGAAACTTTAAAAGAGAATTCACCTAGATAAGTAATAAAAAAAAAAAAAAATAATACAAGTATAATTATAATGAACAAGCAAACAAATATCACTGATCTTCAGCAATGGTCATTAATAGTGAGACTGTCTATTTTTTAAATTATAATATTTGCATTCTTGACAAAATTGTTTGTCGAACTGCATTTCTTTGCAATCTATTCTATGTCAGAAAAATTGGTTAGTTTTATA